TACGTTTGATGCCGACGGCAGCACAGCCAACAACAACAATTGTGTTCATTGTGCTTAATTAATTTAGTTCAAAGATCAAGCGACCATAATGCTGAACATCGCCTGCAATGCGATTCTTCTGCGGCTTCTCCTCGTGTTCATTCTCATTCTCATTCTCGTTCTCTTTCTTTCCACATCTCTATTTTTCCCAGTTCAGTTTGATATATACTTCGATATTTTTTCCAGTCCAGGGCAATTTTCAAATATCAGCCACATACTATATATACAGTTACGATCACTTTGGTTTAAATATATTGTATATAACATTTTTGAATCAAGGTTATTGCAAGTCTGTTTAAAGCCCTAAACGTTTGAAATTAAAGCCATACAAATTGACAATTGTTATCATGATAATTATTAATATTTCTTTGCCGGTTTAATCGAAATCTATATTGTGTTCTTAGTGAAAACACGATCATAGTTATATATTTTCTACCGCGTTTATACGAAAAGGCTTGGTTCGTGTTCAAAGTACAGTTCTCATTTCCATATCTGAATCGGTTGCAATAAAGTGTTGAGCAAAACTATATTGTAATCGGTTTACGCAATGGTTGTGTATACTTGAGCGGCGTTTAACATTCATCATGGTTAAACCCCCCCCCTCTTCCCTTGGCGATTTCCTCCCCATTTTTTGCACCCCCACCCCAAAAACAAACTTCCAGCTCGGGTCTCCACATCACCCCCCTTCCCCAGGGACCAACGTTCTCGATATGCTTAATTAGGCAACGGGCGTCGAGTATAAAAAGCGTCTTTTGTCGCTGCCACGCCCCACGCCCCACGCCCCACCTCCAACCCCAACCCTTACACACACACACACACACACTTGTACATATTACACTGATATGAGACAAACACAAAGACAGAGCCACACATGTTGCCCATGTTCCATTACACACATGTGGTTCAGTTCAGTTCGGTTCGGTTCTGTTCTGGGCTTTTGCCTCCCCATCGCTGATCTCTGGCCAACACTAGTCAGCATAGAATTTATTTTAAAGGATTTATATACGTTTGTGATTTTTCGTGACTCATACCCTAGTGAGTATACCTAGTCCTGGCTCATGAACTCATTGATTCACTAAATTACACCTCATACCGTGAGCTTGATTTACCATTTATGATCCATTTAATATGAGTCAATTATTGTACAGAACGGAAGGCTAAATTAAGTTAAGGGTTACGACCATCAGATACCAGTTACTAATTTAAAACCAATATTTTAAATAAATATGCCCACAGATGACGCCATTTGCAATTGGTGGTGCAAACAAAAAAGATAAGGCGCCACCTGCCGGTAAGCTATATTTATTTGACCATCTTAAATAGAACTTCCCAATAAATTCTGAAATACTTTTTTGATTTGCATAATTTTTTGTGAGTTGTTAGATAATGAATGAATAAATACCTTCGATTTGATGGAGTAGGGTATGCATCTCTAGTATCTACACGCCTAAACCCAACTCCCTAGCTCCATTAGATCTTTAAAATGTTTATTATGATCAAGAATAATTATTCATTATAGTGTGATTACAATGATATGACATTAAAAAAGTATGCTACAATATACACTTTTATAAAAAGTTTTAAATTACTAAAAGTTGTAGATGGTTGGAGTAAGATTTTAGATTGAAGGATACTGAGGGTTGGACTAACTAACCCAATTTTTTGCTGACCAGTGTGGAGTGCTCGCGTTCCCTGGGTGACCGGAGGTCGGCATCGCCATAGCCACCGACTCTTGCCATCGACGTCGACGTCAACTGCGACTGCGACGGAGGCGGCTACTGCGACTGCGACGTCAGTCGCTTACGAGGCGGACCGCCACCCAAGAAAATTCTCGGCGGCATCTTGAGTTCAATTTCAGTTGATATTCTGTCAAATTCGCGAACGCGTCGCGCCTTCACTGCAGCTCCGATCTGATGGCAAGGCCCATGCCGAAAACCCCGATTTCGTAATACTCCGATCAAAAAGCTCGGCTTATCGGTGGACTGGCCAAATTATAATATTATTTTGTTTGTTTTGGTGCTCGTCTTTCGGGAATGAAAACGTGCGTGGATCGATCGACTATATAATAGAGATCCAAACAGAAGAGTGAATCTGCTGTGAGGGAAATGGAGAGAAAGTGAGATAAGCGCTGCGAGATAGCTCAAAAACGGGAAAATCCATGGGCCAAGCCCCGTTTCAATTTTATGTTTTTTATTTGGTTTTTGTTCATTTTGCCCATGCATGGGTGTGTGTTGTTGTTTTTTTTTTAATTTTCCAGAATTGCAATACATTGTGAACATTCATCACCATTCATTCATTTGTCGCTATACGCAAATGGACGGCGATGAATCACCGGCATAGGCAAATCCGTAGATAATTTACAACTGCGATTTACATGCCACATGGAGTGCAAGTGGTTTATTGTTGCTTCCTTGGGAGCTGCATGAATTCGACGGGCTTTTATTGACGGGGTCAAGAAGGTCTTGAGCAGATGCCCAAAAGTATGCAAGTCAGGGATAAAAGTGCCCAAATAAGTGAGGATTTTTTGTTCGATTTCAAACGCAAACTTTTCTTTTGGGTCTACTAAATCTAAGATAAGCAAGATAATAATCAGACAGTTTTTAGCCAAATTATAATGTGTTCAAGTTGGGTTTTGGTGACCCCGACACATTAACTATTAAGAAGGGTGGCCCAAGCCCGCATTTGTTAGCCCACAAGTTAACCTCTCGAAATTGCTTTTTAAGGGCTTGTGCTTCAATTGACGAATAAGCCCAATTTAAGTTTTTCAGTGCAGTTGTGTATATCAATGATGTAGATCTAATGAATAAAAGGGAATTATGTTTTTTAATATGTTCATATTCACTATGAAAATTAATTTTCCAAATGTGTTTACTTTTAGTACTCAATAAACAGTGATCGTAATGGTAAAACATTCTATTCTCAGGCTGTGTCCAGATATGATTTGCTAAAGTTAGGGTTTTGGTGATCATTTGATAAGAACTATGTTTTTTAATAAAGCTGCTGTTCTAAAGTTAAGGAATTCATATAAAATAGGTAAATCTTAAGTTTGAGAAGAGCTTTCTTAGCATCGGCATTTCCTATGCCAACTTCATGCAAATGGCCTTCAAATACCAAGAGGATGAATAACTTCTGATTGGAGGGTCGCAGGCTGAATAATATAAACAAAATATTTCAATAAGATCAATGAACGTATATCATGAAAGTCTTTAGGTTTGAGTAGTTGGGAATTAAATTTAAAACTAGTGTGACAACAATTGACAAATGGCACTAAAGAGATGCTATCGATGGTTTTCAAATTGTCAGAGCATCGATAGTTTTTTCCCGATATCAATACTATAGACAACATTTCCTATCGGTATTTTTGAGGATCAAAAAAAAGTATTTAGGTATACTTTTGAAAGTTCAACAATAGTTTCAATATTGAAGTGCTTTTTATTGTTATTGAAATTTTCAAGTACCTATGCTTAAAATTTCATTAGTTTGCGTTTTAACGTAAAAAATTACTTTTTAATATTGCCCACTATCTATAGATTATACTAACGATATTTTCCCAAGCCTATAATCAATTTTAAACCTATCAAATCTAATAAATCTCATAACAGATAGAAATATAAGCTAAAATCTATTTAATATATTGAATTAGATCACCGTAAAGTTTAAAGAATCAATGCACTCAATATTATTTATTTTGTGAGTATATGAAAAATATTTACAACAAATTTTAGTTAACATGATCAGAAAAATTTCAAAGCAAAATTTCAGTTATTCAATTCAATGCCCATGGGGCTTAGATGAAAAAATTGGCATTCAAAATTCACTAGGTAATGTTGTTATCCTGTTTTTTTATCTTTTTATTTTATAAATATTTGTAAGCTTTCATGATGCTAAGACGGCAATGATTCAGAGGGGGAAATGAGTAACAATTGGTTCTGCAATACGTCAAAAAATAATTTAGATTATTAAAATTAATATTACTTATTTTTGTAGGACCTCAAACACGTCATTGGATTTCTTGTTATTTAAGTTCAAACCAATTTGTACCGGGTTTTCAAGATTAATAGCTTAATAGCTTAATAGCCAAAGAATGATTTATAACGAATATATATTTCCTTAATTTTTGATTCAGAGCAATTTTAAGAGTTTTAGAAGCCGCATTTTTGTTGCATCATTTGCAGACAGAATTTTGTTTAACTGACTTTAGGTCGAATTGTATTTTCTGTAACAATTGGGTATGAAGAATGTAAAACATGTTTTAGGCAGCTGAAAACTCAACCGGTATCCCTTTTGCCCCCCAAGCCGGTTATGATTAATGGCCATAATTCTAGATCAGAGAATGACCAATAAAACGAAGTCTCCCGAAAAAAGATTTTAAGATCCACCGTCGAGATAGCCATGATTTCCCCACTTACGCTGATCAAGAGATTAATGTACGGGCCCTCGTTTCTTGGCACCTTAACTCCATTAGGTCCACTCTCGCCTTCCGTTTTGGATGCCTGTGCACTGAAAAAAACACCGCAAAAAATAGTAAAGTGTTACTTGAGCAAATTAAACTTTTAAGATATTTTCTTGTAAAAAGGTTTAATAGCTAATCCAAAAAAAAATACTTAGGAAATCATAGTACCTAAAAAATAAATTTTGTTGTAATTGAGTTTAAAAGTGCCTAAATGATAAAAAGAGAAAAAATACAAACTTACCAAAAATTGTTAAAATCACATAAAATTCAGGAGGAAAAAAAATAAACAATAGCAAACTGACTTAAAAAATGTTAAAATTATTTAAAAAATTAGAAACTGATTTCAAAAATTTTCCAAAAACTTAAAAACTTATAAATTAAATATTTAAGAAAATTTACAAATTTAGGTACATTTTTGTGTGTAGTTAAAAAGGTTTAACAAATTTAAAATGTTTAAAATATTGAGGAAATCCACAAGCCACTCAAAGAGTTGTTAATCAAGGTTATAGATGTGCTACTCTTTTGAGGTTCTTCGATTCTTCGTGTGAGTAGTTTCAGTATTTTTTTCTGTAGAGCCTGGAATAAACAATTTTTCAAGTGTAAGCTATGCACATTCCATATTCCACGTTCAGCATTCAACATTCCATTTACCTGGCGGCACCTGTGAGGCGTAGGTGAGGAAGTCGACGAGCGTTACACAATTCTCGGCTGGCCAACCTGTTTCTCAGGGGTCTCTCGCTTCTCACCTCTCTTCGCCGTGTCAGGGTCTTTGATTTGAATATGAGGAACGGCGAGGGGAAAAGATAGGCGGCTGGAGGGGACACGCCCCTGCGACCGACATGGTTTGGTGGATCGGCGAGTGACTCATCCCCGTACATCAAGAAAAACAAAGCCAAGCACACCCAAAACGAACAAACAAAACAACGTACATTCAGTTCTGACCAGAAGAAATGCAGGCGGTTAGTGGTTAACCCTGCGGGATTTTCTTTGCCGCTGGCCCCACTGTCATTAATTAAAAGAAAGCAAATTAAATGGAATTACACGCATTAACAGAAAACGATTAATACAGAACCCAAAACATTAACTTGATTAGGGGAAAATATACAATTTGACTTCTTATGTGATTAGTGATTAGCATGTCTTTAGGCCGTGAACAAATCTTTAAACTGGTTCTAATAACAGACACTTTTAAAACAGTTTGTGTACAGCATTTAAAACTGTCCTTGTTTCTGAGTAAAGTTTGGATACAAAAATGAAAGAACAAAATAATAAAATAATAAATAATATCTAAGCTGGTCTTAATACAATCTCTTACCGAGTAGTAAAACTAATAATTTCTGTAATATTTAGCAATAGATCTAAATATTTTGTTTTTCAAATGGAACACAATCAGAGCCCATTGGCCATTTGAGGGTTAAGCTGGAGAAGAGTGATTCGAAGGCGAAGTCGACGTCTCGGGGCCAATTGAGTGCAGCGACTTTGGCTGAGATAATGAATATCGGTGCCGGCAGTCGGAAGCGGGACAGAAAGAGGGGCTATTGAGAAAGAGAAAGATATGTTATACATACATATATAGTTGGGGGGTAGTGCCTTCACTTAAGTCTAAACTTTAAACATTTCAGAGGCATCGACTTTCTGCAGTTGTCACACTCTGTGAGAAATTAAATCGTTTTGGGATGAAATTATTCACTTTCTTAAGTCAATATTATGTTGTTATCAGACATAATTTTATTTCATATAGATACGGGAATTACATCATATATCAGTTAATAAGATCGTTTTGTGATGAGATTGTTTACTTTCTTTAATGACTTTCGTTTTAAAATGCAACCTTTTAAAAAACAAAAATATATTTTCCTGCTTTAAGACTTGCTTAAATAGATCAGATTTTAACTTTCGACTTTCCTCACGCCACATTGAACTATGATTTTGGGATTCGATTTCGAAGTAAACTATTTCAAAATGTATAGCTATGATTTTATTTTTTATAAAAAAAATGAACAAATTACCCATATTGTGCAGTGCTGTGTATCTTACTATCTCTCCATTATTTTCTCACTTGATATTGACTTGTGACAGCAGCAGCGATAAGAGAAAGTAGTGAGAAAGATAAAGAGAAATGCCTCAGCAGCAGGCGAAGGATATCAACGATAACCTCGGCATGGAGTCTCCCATTTACGAGAACCTGCCGCCCAATAACAACAACCACACCCCCACCACCCCCAAGGGTCAGCCCATTCCGGAGCTGCGGAAATACTTTCCACGCGAGGCGATCTACGAGAATCTGTGTCGCGGCTGCGGCTACGGGGTGTTTGGCGCCCAAGGACGCTTCTGCCATTTCTGCCAGTGCATCGTCAGCGGGGGGTGGTGCTGAGTCCGCCACCCCCCCACTCCCCCGCCCCTCACGCCCACTCCCCTTGAGAGCAGCAATATCTATGAGAATATCTGCGATTTGTGCCGCGGTATTTATAGCGATAATGAGCGATGTCAGTGTGAAAGGATCACCACTTCAGCTGCAGCCACACCCACCGTTACGCCCAGCGTAACGCCCACTGCCACTCCCACTCCCACCACACCCACACCCACCGCCAAGGTCAAGGCGTCGCGCACTCTCTTAGGCTACTCCAAGTCCAGTGCCGCGACCTTGACCCGACTCTTTGGCTCTCTAAAGCAGCTGAATCGCTCTTCCTCGCTGCAGCGCAGGATATTCGCTAGGACACCGCCTCCCGGCGGTTCCGGCTCCCTGGAGATCATACACAACGTGGACGAGGTGTTCCGCACCCAGGAGACCTTTGACCTGCAGCGCATCTGCGAGCTCAAGAGTCAGAGTCAGCAGGCTCAGCTTAAGAGCAGCCAAAGTGATCAGCATATATACGGCCGTGTAAGAGAACCGGAGCCGCAGCCGCAGCCGGAGAGCAATGGCAAAAGAGAGCACGGGCGCCTGAAGAAACCGCGCGTCTCTCGCATGCGCCTGCTGCAGGACGAGCAAAAGAGAGCGGATGGGGGCTGCGTGGAGGCGTCCCTGTATCTCAACGAAAGCATTTGCCAGTGGATGACGTCACTGAGGCGTCAGGTGCACCACTACGACGAGGGGGCGTGGCAGCAGCCCAAGAGCGTGCCGGCAAGAGAGCGTTTGGCGATCCGCAAGGAGGAAGAGGTCACCACAACGGTCACGCTGCGAAGGAGTAAGGAAGAGAGAATAAGGGCGGGGGTGTCGGCAGAGAAAGACGAACAGAATCTGGTCAAGGACTTCAAGAGAAAGTTGCAACTGAAGAGGGAGCCGCCAGAGGAGCTGGCTAAGCAACAGCACCATCGGGAGCATCAGGAGCATCAGGAGCAGGAGCAACGGCGCTGTGCCATAACAGCGGCAATTGTGAATGACTATCTAAGCGCGCTGGGCGAAGAGCAAGCAACGCAACAAGTGGCGCTGATCGAAGAGCGTTCGAATTTCTCTTTGCCCCAAATCTCTCTCTTCGGCTTAATGCAGAGCCTCACTCTCGCCACCAGTTTGCACGTGTGTGTGCGTGGCTTTCTCACCGTCTATGACAAATCGCTCAGCCAGTGGCTATATCTCCAGCAGCAGCAACAACAACAGCCGATCATTAGTTATCGCCGCCGGAGAGCGCGTGACTCAGATTCTGCTGGAGAATGGCGCCTGCTTCTCTTCCTCGGCGGTCGTCGGCGAGTGGTTTCATTTTCTCCCGCGCTTTCAGAGAGTGACGACGTGTTGTCGCATCGCGCGGTTCGAGTTCTGCCCAAGCGAAGTGCTAAGAGCGTGACTGTGAGCGAGGGTGAGGGTGTCGTCGGTGTGGGTGAGGGAGACGGAGTGAGTGTGAGCAGGGGCGCAAGCTCCATCAGCAGAAGCAACAATAACAATAGCGGCAAAAACAGAGCTTTGATGGCGGCGCCAAAGCCAAATGGCGAGGAAGAGCGCCCCATTTGCAACAACAATTCCAACAGCAACAACAGCAGCATCACCAACAACAACAATAACAACAGCAACAACAATTGCTGCAGCAACACGAACAATAATTGCAACAGCAACAGCAACAACTACAATCACAGTGATGACAATGAAAACGGAAACAACAACAACAGCAACAGCACCAGTTGCAATGTCAGCGAACAACAACAACAGCAGCTAATCACACAGGTCAACCCTCATTACAAAAAAAAAAAAAAACAAAAACATCAACAACATGAAACAAAAGCAAAATTAAAAAAGCAGAAAGCACAGAGAAAAAAAACACCCATAAGTTTAAACCATTTTAAAATAGTGGCATTATCAACAAAAGTCTTGAAAAATCAACCAAAAATAATAGAGCCAAGCAACAACACAAAAAAGGCAATAAAAAAAAACATTTAAAAACCGATCAATAAAAGTGATAAAAATGTACAAAATGTGATCTACCAAATCGATTAAAACAGTCGAGCTTCTATAACTAAAACAATTATTTGTGAAATAGTATTAATTTCACCCAGTTTTTTTCTAATTGCACAGAAAACATAAATCACAAAGAATTCAAGTAAGATAAGTTAGGAGTTTAAAAATTAAAATAATATCGCTTCACAAAAAGGTTATAAATAATAATCTACAATCCCCTGACATTTCGACATTGTATATCGCATAAAAGATAACGCTAACTTTACTTGTTTTTTTACTTAATAATTCCTTACAAGAAAAAATCGCGTGATATCGCCACTATTTTTTTCTCTGTGCACTCGTTGTTGTTGCGCTTCACTGCAATTTAAAGTTGACTAACGGTTCGCGTGCGAAAGGGATGCCAACGTTCGATTGGATATTGGTGCACATGAAAACAAACAAACTTATCTAATTAAAAACAACCATTAAACAATCAAAAAAAATGTGGACAAAAACAAACAAGTTTGCTATGAAAACAAAAGATAACTATAAAATAATCAGCATTTAATTAACGTTCATTTTTTTGTTGTTTTTTTTTTTTTTTATTTGGGTGATTAAAAAAGTGTTGCCATATGCGAAAAAAAAGCGAAATTGCCATCATACCGTTATGAAAAAATTAAATATTATTGTGATTTCTAGAATGGAGTTTTTTATGGAGTAGTTTATTGCTTTTTATGGAAGGCATATATAAAAAATAATTTCTATTAAAAGCAAGTACGGGAATCCCTCTCCATAATTTTGCCATGCTACTTAATTAACTAATCAACTTGTTAAAAGTGGTTCAAATTTTTTGTGTTTTTATTTTTTGTTTAGTTTTGTGATCTCTACTGCCTAACATTAAATTAAAACTTTTATTTAAAGTAATTTGAATTCCTTTAAATGGTTTTGCTTGAAAACAGTACAAATTCTATATGGGTTAGAAAAACTACCTATCGTTCTGTAAGTCAATTATAAAAAGCAGTGCAGCGCCACAAAAAACACTGGATATTATTCCAAAAATGACAGCTTGACAACAACGTTTGTTTCTACATGAATTTTTAGAATTGCGTAATCAAAGTTCGACGTCCGGCACCAAAAGTTCCCGTTCGAAATCCCAACACGTCTTTAAGTAATCCCCGCCAGGCGGAAGAAGTGCTGGCACAACCAAACGCCCTGGAAAAGGATAACAACTCTGCCGAGGCGAATCCCGATCAAGAGGCGGAGGAGGAGGAGGAGGAGTCCATTTACCAACCCATTTGGCAGTTTAAGACCATGGAACCCGCTGATCAGGAAATTATCGAAGCTCTGCCGGCAGAAGGCGAGGATGAGGATGATGAGGAGGAGGACGATGACGAGGATGGAGACGGGGACGGGGAGGAGGACCTGGAGGACTACGACGAGTCTTTGCCCTCCGATGCTGATGCGGATGTGATGGCCCTCCAGGCGGCGGCTGTCTTCGCCGCCGGAGTTCGCCACAAGTTGTCCACATCGACGCTGACCAAGCGCTCCAAGCTCATGCTGCCCACGCCCCTGCCCTCGCCCACCGCCTCCATGGACCAGGGGGCGTGGGAGACGGACATGGAGTTCATGTTCTCGCGGGACAACAAGGAGGAGGAGGCCGAGGAGACGCTCAGTTTGGGCAGCACGGTGACGAACAGCACGGCGACCTTGGGCTCCATCAGTAGCACGGGCAGCTCCGGCTCCGGGCTGCCAGCACCACCAAAAGATCTGCCAAGGCCATCTTCGGCTGTGGCCCAGATTGTGCCGCTGGTGCATCCGATCCTCAGGAACATCTGCATTTTCTACAGCCTCCGGGATCCATTGAAGTACAGCGCCATATTCTACGACTACCAGCGTTCGCTGGTCCACCAGCGATTCATGACCCGCATCCGTCGTCCGGCTCCACCTCCGCCTGTCCAGGTGAGCCAAACCGCTCCGCGCAACGACGACAGTGGATGCAGCTGCGAGGATCAGGAACAGGACCATCATCCTGCCACCGTGGTCATTCCCCAGCCGCTGAAGGAGGAGTGGGAGCGGGCGGTGCTCGCCGCGGGGGCGGTGGCCGGCAAGCGGGGCGTGGCCGCTCGGGCGGGACGCAAGCTGAGGGTTCGCTCCAATGCCCGGCTGCTGCTCACCGATTCCGTGCTGGCGTGGCGGGAAACGCTGCAGGATGTCCACTGCTGCGAGGACGAAGAGGACATGGTGAGTGGGAGGTTCAGTCCCGAGATGGGGATAAGTATATCAATTGAATTCCAACCGAACCGATAATAATAATCTCAGAGACAACAAAAAGACCAAACTGACCTGAAATATAATTTAATTATCTTCAAGCTCTGTTTATTTTGACACTGAGTAGCTTATTATTTTCAAAATGTACGTAATTTGATTTTTGGGCGTTCTCTGAGTGTAGCATTTACGACTTTAATTTTTAAAAGACTTGTGTACACTATTATGTTTCCAATTTTTCTGAAATGTATACACTAAATTGATTTAATATATGTCTGATTTTTATACATTCTTTGGGCAAAATTAAAAAAAAATGTATTTGGAACATAAAGAAATAAACAACACAAAATGTCTTGAAAACCAAAATTCTTAAGTAACGATCATTTTCTCCCATGAGTAAACATTTTTTAACCATTTCAATACATTTTTCAGTATTGTTTTAACCTACCTTTAAATGAGCTTGAAAATTTTTTGTTCACTCATTTTTATCGTTTTTTGATAAACCAATATTAAATGCATCAAATCTTGCTCACGGACATACCTTTTTCAATTTCATGAAATTTTAGTCTTGACAGAAGTATTACAATGACTCAAAAAAAATGTTTGGCTGTCAATTCTTTTATGAGTCGTTTTAAGCTTGAAGTCTTGACTTAAGTTTTTATTGAACTTTGTTAATCAAAGGATTATATTCTTTGTCATATGTCTTTACAAAAAGATAATATTTAAACCTGTATTTATAATATTTTAAACTTCGTGCTTTCCGTAAATTGTATATTTTTCTTAGTGCACTCTTGTCGCTCCCAATTTGCCATGTACGTTCTCTCGGTTTCTTTGTTTGGCCATTGTTTCCCCACTTGTCACTTGTCACATCAATTAAACGCGCAAATGTATCTGTATCTTTGTATCTTTGTATCTCCGAATCCCTTTCTCCCCTGGCACAACGGTTTATGCGATTGTTTTAGCCGATCTATGCGAACCCCTTCTCCGAGGGCCTAAAAAGTTACCCAACCTTCGTTTGGGGAGAATACCCTTGTTTCTCTGGGAGGTCTCGACTGTTGCAAGTTTTGGGGGAATATAATAGTATCCGATATAGTAGCTTTATTACTATTTACTGACAATGCTTACTTTGCTACATTTTAAATTTGATTTGTACAAATTTAAAGAATAATAATCAATATTATGTTTATGGCAATATTACAGTCTCAAACAGAAAATATTACATATATATGTGGTGGTTGGAATCTATTTCATATTTTTGATTTCCCAGAGGATTTTAGAGTCGATCAAAAATGTATCTCTTAGTATGCCATATTTGGCTTTTGATTGCACTTTGTTTATAATGCATAAAGTACGAGTGTAGATACGCCTTTAGATACATATACAGTTGTGTTCAAAACAATAGAAATATCAAACAAAAATAGGTGCTTCTAACTTTAAAATTATTTTTGTATTTTCTTGAAGCTAATACTTTAAACTAAATTGGGCATATATAAAAACCTACAATTATCATAAATATTTTTACAATTTTAAAAGACTTGAAATAATTTTTTTTTTAAACTTCAGTTTGAAAAGTCTCTCCAGCTTTTGAAAACATTTTCATTTAATTTCAAAATTTTTTTTAATCTTCAGTTTGAAAATTCTCTGCAGCTTTTAAAAATATTTTCATTTCAATTCAAAGTGCAGATGAACGACGATTTTTGGTTATTTCTTGAAGTCGCTAAAAAATCATATACTACAGTATTTCGAAAAGTTACAATATTTTTAAGGAATTATTAACAGTTTTAAATATTCTTGAAAAACTAAGAAAATATCAAAGGGTATTTAATTCAGACTTTAATTAGTGTTTAGTAATCATTATAATAAATTAAAAAAAAGAGTTGTTCTATGCCTTAAAGATATGTTTTTGAGTATTTTACATTTCCCACTACTATTATTTCGATCGCAGCTGTATAGGTATGTGCAAATTTACAAACATATGTATGTACTACATACGTACGTGTGCTGCTTTCTGCATAATGTATTTTTATTTATTTGCCTCTCACGTTTGCTGTTTTCTGTTTGCTGCATTTGCCGCTGCATGTGAAATTCCCTAGAAATTCGCAGGGAGCGTTCATCCTCCCACCTTTCACCCCTTTCTATTTATTTATTTTTTTTTTGATACGCCGCCCCTGTTCCCGTGAGCTCCAAAATGTTGATTCATATTTCGCGAACGACAATAATTTATTTATTTTGTTTTATTTATTTACCTCGTTTTTTTTTGGTTTGCATACATTCTGCCGTGATATGCATATATGTGTGTGTTTACGTCTAAAGTTAATTTTTTTTGATTTGTTTTATAAACTTTGACAAACCGGTTTTTCGCTTGAGGGGAGCATTTTGTTGTTGGTTGTGCTTGGCGTGTTTTATACCCTTTTAGAAGGTATAATAAGTTTATGTTTAATTCGTTGGCTTTTGGAAATTCCCTGCAATTTGTAGAATAATGTTATATTGCAGCCAAACGGAAGAAATTAAAAAAAAAAAACAAAAACATAATTAGTAGAATTTTGTAATTGAAATTCGACCTTTTTATAAAAACGTTTGAAAGTTTTGACACTATCAAAAATTAAACTTGTATCTTAGTTTTGTTTATAATGAATAATAATAATTGCTCAGAAATATGGAAACATATATTTACATATAATTATAAATATATTAATATATATATATATATACATTATATAGTTTTCAAAGTAAAACAAATAGCTTCATTTTGTTTTTCTAAATTTGTTTATTAGCATGTTTTTATTGGGCATTTTCAAGTCGGTGTACTTTGAATGTTTCGTTGCCTTCTTCTTATGTGTAATTTCCTGCCTTGGAGCTTCGCTCATCGCATTTATCAGCATTTAATTGGTTAATCATTAGTCAAATATTTTTGTAACTCTTCGTCGTTCTGTTACCGCCCCAAATTGTGGTTTCTCCCTCATGTTTTTGTATTTTGCGTTTTCTTGACTTTGCTCCTTCTCAGAACCTTTGACTAAGCCACCAAAAGTTTATCGCTTGGATTGTAAAAATCATAACGGAACTTGAGTGTTCCATAAATAAAGTCCCGGCTTGGCGAAATGTCTTCGGATATGTTTTCCTGTGCATATTCATAAGATTAAGTTTATAATCGTTTTTATTACATTTTTATGGTATTAAGTGCTTGATTATTTCGGCGAGCTTCGCAATTTGTGTTCCCTTATATACATATATATTTTTTCAGATGTATATAATAAAAAAAAATTAAAAAATAACCATATGCATAGCCATATTCTAATCATTTGATTCGAGTCAGAGTTTTAGTATAAACTGGTTTTTTTGTACAATAAAAAGCTTAAACTATGATCTTATGAATACAATTTTTGTCCAGTTTTAATTCATTCCAAACAGAACTCTATCGCCTCTCGACTTCGAAAAAGACTTTTCAAGTGGCCCCATAAGTTGTGTCCAACTCAAGTGGCGAAATACATTTATTTAGTTTGTCAACACTTTGAATAGGCTCACTTTGGAAGATCTTGACATGAACCGAACGCAAAGATTTCAATGAGTGGACTGGAGTGCCCACGCATACAACGAAAAAAAACCAAAAAACCAAAAAACTGAAACCATTGAGCCGAGTTTGGGACTTTGCGAAAGGAGGAGGGGCTGTGGGACTGTGGGACTGTGGGGCTAGGGATTCAAGGCTCCGGCTCCTCTTCGAATAAACCACAACCAAAACAAAAAGGTCAACTGAGCTGAGCCGCCTTTGTTTGGCTTTTGGATTATTTGTTTATTTGCCGCGGTTCGTTTCGGTATTTCGGTGTGGCTTTTTTTTTTTTTTTTTTGGAGTGAATCATGTGGTGGCGAACGAGCGGGGCGATACATATGTAGATATAGATACTGTATCTGCGGGCGCACGAATCAAAAGCGAAATAGTAAAATAGCAAAAAAGCAAGGCAAACACATGTACCTACTAGTCGAGGTCGTATCAATTAAATCGCCTGCCTTCTTTTTCGGCTTTATTGTTACGGTTACTGTTGCTGTTACTGTTACTATTTGGGCGCACATTAATTTCCATTCTGGCCGCCATATGCAGACATTTTTTGGCCAAATGTTTCGTGTCAAAACACAAAATCGAAACTACGCATTTATTGCGCTTTTGTTTACGCTCGCAAATACTCAAAATGCTGCCACTCGCACAAAAGTCGAAAACAGAGAGCAAATTAGCCAAAACAAATTAAGTCTAATCAGTTCAAGCGGTGTGCCTGGGGTTCCAAATTGCCGGAATTATCAAGTGCTAATTGGGGGTGAACGAAAATCCCAAAACTCATCGCCTGCCGGACGATTTCCCTTGAAAAACATATGGAGGCGATTTTCTATATGTTTTTAGCATTTGTTTGTTTTTTATCTTGGCTATTGTTGATATTATAAGCAGTTTTCCCCCTTATTCTCTTTAATACTGGAACAAAGTACACTTTTAATTAGCCACAATCGATGTTTACAACACATAAAATAAATATAAATACATTAGTTTTTCACATTGTCACATTTTCTCCATTATATAGTTTTTATTAGACCAAATATGAATTTAAGGTGTGACTAAAATAAGTCTTTATAACTTTGAAAACTCATATTCATATTTTTAAAGTGGTTATTTCCTATAGCTTCATAGCAATAAGTTTGTTCACGCAACCAATTAAAGTTTGATTAAATAAGTCACCCTAACATTTTATTGTAAAATTAATGTTTTTTTTCGAAGTGCTGATTTCCGGAATTCTAGGAACAGTATTTTTTCTTATATTTACGGACCTCGTTAGGAAGGCAAACAAATGTGGGAACAGACGCAATTCAGGGGAACTCCAGGTGCAAGTTTGAGAACAATTTGTGGATTTCCCCCTACTTGGCCATAAGTTACAGTGAAACTTCCCTATTAAAAGCAAGCATTTACCATACACAAGACACAAGACATTTCACTGATTTTGATAAGGTTTTATGACACTTCATTTATATTTATATTTATCTTCGTCCTGTGGACAGTGATATTCCGAAATATTGCATCATATAAATTTCAATTAGCTATCTTTTTTTTATACATTTATAAACACACACTTTTGATGACAGTTAGAAATTAGTTTTTAATTTTTAACACTAAAATAGATGGTGTTAGCAGAATTTACCCGTACAAAAATACATACATATGTATGTATATGGCATATGGCGTATAGAATATCTCCCTTGCACCGCCGATAGTTTTATATATGTCGCCGATAATCTGAGGATTTTGTTTATGCTGTTGTAAACAAAGTTGGTTGGTTGGGAGTCGGGAGTAGGGGGGTGGCAGCTGGTGGTGGGGGGGCGTGGACGTGGGTGGAAAGTGGGCAGCGGAAATGTGAAATGCATTGGCTGCGACACCTTGGACCGGCACTGTTCGATTAACCGTTATCTCGAACGCTTGCATTTATTTTCCGTACCGTTGCGCGATTTCTTACAAATCGAAATCAATTTCTTATCAGAATTGTTTCTGTTTTGGTGCGGCTCTGTGTTCCGTTCCGCTTTCCGTCCGTCCGTCTGTTTGTCCGCAGAAAAAAGAGATAGCGTGCCCCGCATCGCGAGTGGGAGTGAAAGAGAGAGAGAGAGCGAGAGTGAGTGCGATAAGACATGGCGGGCAGATTCAATCCCAAGCGAAGGCAAACAACGGTGAGCGATGGGTGGAACCGAAAAGAAACCCACTAAAGAAGAGAACTTACACTTACCCTGAAGTAATTAAAAACAAAACATCGATTTAAGACTACTAACTATTTGGACTATCAAATATCCAGCACAGTAAGGCTCTTAAATATGCGATAAAGTGTGAAATGATAACATATGTTCCTGAATCATACTTTTTCTTAAAGCTCAATCCGAGCAACGAACTTTTTGGTCATTTTATTATAAGTTTCTTTAACTTTTATGTTTTAATTTGCGGATTTTTAAACACATTTCATCCATATTAACTACAAAATACAATAAAAAAAGGCCAGGCTATAGAAAATTTTTTATATTTATATTTATTTTATTTCCATTTATTTTTTTTTTAACAAAACTTTTAAAATTTTATTTCCAATATAAAGGCATGCACATTAGCTATTTATATTGTGAAGTTTTAAGATTTTTCCTAATATATGTTACTTTATTCTTAAATTTTTAACAAATCTCTAATATATGGGTCTTAAAACCAACAAAATTCACATAAACATCACACCCCTGAGCTGCTCTAATAAAAGGGTATAAAACGAAAAGAAGAGACCAAGAAAACAGACATCGACAACGGCACGAAAAGCTTCAATTAATTTGCAGACGTTACCCATATTGTCGGATTGTGTATCTCAATTGTACGCTCCCAGAGTTTCTGGGCTAGATTTGGCCGAACTTGAATATTTATGTGTGCTTGTTGTCTTGCCTTGTCTTCCAGATTGTGCCAGTGACTGACATTCTGCGGGCGCAGCAGATCAAGGAGGACAATGAGGTGCAGCAGACGCAGCTGACCACGATTCTGCCGCTTTTCAAGAGCGTCTCCATTGGCAACCTGCGTGACCTGCCCGGCGAGGAGGACAAGAAGTCCATCAAGAATCGCATGCGAATGAAGTGTAAGTACTTCTGGCGTTTTCATATGGGTCTGGAAAAAAGACACGTTTATTGCAACAATAATTCCCTTGCCTTCTTGATTTATAAGAGTGCTGATTATTATACACGAGTGGCAGAAAGGTTTCCTCATTAAATATAAATGTTATTATACTAACGTATAACTCATTTCTTTTCTCTTGGCCCGTTTTCTTAATGACGTATTGAATTTGACATTGTGTTAAATTGCTGTTTCCGAAACATCTACTTTTTATACCCTTGCAGAGGGTATTATAATTTCAGTCAGAAGTTTGCAACGCAGTGAAGGAGACATCTCCGACCCTATAAAGTATATATATTCTTGATCAGCATCACTAGGCGAGTCGATCTAGCCATGTCCGTCTGTCCGTCCGTCTGTCCGTCTGTCCGTCCGTTTATATGCAAACTAGTCTCTCAGTTTTAAAGCTATCTGCATGAAGCTTTCCCAAAAGTTGTCTTTCTATTGCAGGTAGTATATAAGTCGGAACGAGCCGGATCGGACGACTATAGCATATAGCTCCCATAGGAACAATCGGAAAAATAAATGAAAAAAATTATAACTTTGCTGTTTTTTAATTTTTTGTTTAGTTCTTCGACATATAGCAATAGTTATATATTTCAGAATTATGGTTTAAATTTCATCAAAATCGGACGACTATAGCATATAGCCCCCATAGGAACAATCGGAAAAATAATTGAAAAAAAATTATAACTTTGCTGTTTTTTAATTTTTTGTTTTGTTCTTCGACATAAAGCAATGGTTAAATATTTCAGAATTATGGTAAAAATTTCATCAAAATCGGACGACTATAGCATATAGCTCCCATAGGAACAATCGGAAAAATAAATGAAAAAAAATTATAACTTTTCTGTTTTTTAATTTTTTGTTTAATTCTTCGACATTTAGTAATGGTTAAATATTTTCGATTTACGGTTTAAATTTCATCAAAGTCGGACGACTATATCATATAGCTCCCATAGGAACAATCGGAGAAATAAATGAAAAAAAATTATAACTTTTCTGTTTTTTAATTTTTTGTTTAGTTCTTCGACATTTAGTAATGGTTAAATATTTCCAATTTACGGTTTAAGTTTCATCAAAGTCGGACGACTATATCATATAGCTCCCATAGGAACAATAAAAATATATAAAATAACTATCAAATAATTGAGCTGCAAATCATCATAGCTTCAATGTTTTTAAACTTATACGCAAGTAAATTATAATTTTAATATTTTCAAAAATGTTTAATTCTTGCAATAGCTGCAAGGGTATATGAACTTCGGCTTGCCGAAGTTTGCTTTCTTTCTTGTTCAATATAATGTAACAGTTCTTCTGCCTGAAATCTCTTAACTAGAGGCAATGCTCCAGTTACAATTTTTGTGTCGACAAAATGGAAATGATTTACATCGACTAATGGGTTTGGAAGTCTGAAATTACAATCGTATTACGAAATGCACTTTACCTAAATGTCATCCACGATTTGTAATATAAGAACAAAATTGCAAACCTAATGCATTTATTATTTGCAATTAATATAATTACGTTTTTGGTATTTATTGACACCTAATTGAGGCACCAGTTCTTCCTATAAACAACACATTTTTACAGAATTCAGTAAATCATCCCCAACTTTATTTTTTATTAATAGTAATCAAAGCTGGCATATGTTTAAATGTTTATTCTGGCATCTTATTTGGGATTCCCACTGCAATGAACTTGATTTGCCAATTACATTAAATATAATTAGTAACTGTCTTGGTTAAAGTGATTGTGCATCTTCTGATGCAAATATTTAAGTCCGCTTCGCAGCATTTAGTCATTGGCTAAAAGTGTCTCCAACTTCTGGTACCAACGATGACTTTCCTTCGAGTGAACTTGCAACGAACCGGTTAAAAGAGGGCGCCCGACTGTCTGCACAGAAAACTGCTGCTCTTGGAACTCCGGTTCCAAGTCGAAGCCACCAACGCGATTGGAAAAACCATTTGCCATGCACTCAAAAAAAAATTGTGTCTTAAATTTAAAATAATTTTTTAACTTTAATAGACTGTGCCTGAATTATTATAAAAAATCAAGCATTTTTTTTTCAAAATCGGCACTCAGAATCGAAGATTCAAGTCGAAAAATTATTTTTTTTTAATCTTTAGTTTAATTAAGTATTTGCCCTTAACTAGACAAATCTAATATAAAAACAAATGTTATCAATTGTATGGTCTTCTTGGAGAGAGTACAAAACATTTTTTTGATTTATTTTGATTATGACATAGATACATAGATAATGGTCCCTGGACTAGTGAAAAATATATTGAAATATTTTTAGACTTATGGCGTTTAGTCTGCTATTTTTTTGTGAGTGTACTTCTAGCATTTGAGGCTCGAGCTCGTCGCACGCTGGCCATTTAAGGTCGTTGCGGCCCACACAGCGACCGTCTTTGTTCGGGTGACTGGGGACTTCTATCTACGGACACATGAATGGGAATGCGAAAACGTAGACGAATACTAGAGCCTCTTTCTCACTGGGATTTTTGTTAATGAAAGCCGGTTTCACTTTTGCCGGATGCGGGGATTTTCTGTAGCTTCAACTTTGCCTGCTGCTGTGGCTCTTTTCGGATAATGCAAATGAGTCGACAGTGAATCACAATCTTCGTAAGGCGAGGAATGTTTGACTGGCTGACTGACTGGCTGATTGACTGAATGACTGATTGACTGACATTCCCAGCTAAGATTTTTTGCGTAGGCAAACAAAATCATACGCAATTCGCGGTGGCTGGCAGTCGGGAGTGGCACAATTCCTGATCGCATCCAGGGAGAAATGTCGAAAAATTCCATCCTCTTCGACAGACGCTTGTCGCAATGTAGCCGAATATATTTTAGTTGCAAATTGAGCAATAATTTGTATTTATTTCTCCTTCCATGTTTGGATGCACGATGACGAAATCAATGCAGTCGCCGTCAACAGCAATGTGTTTCGCCTGTAAGTATCGATAATTTATGATACACATTTTTTGTTGTAGTTAAGCAGGGAATCGTATTCAACAAAAATATTTTTTTATTCCCGCTAAAATTTAAATTTGGTTAACTTTGTCCAAAATCTACACTCAGATGAGAAAAACGTTATTTTTTATAAGCTATTTTCTGATAGTTAGAGTATTGGTTAAAACTAAGACTGCATATTTATAATTTTTGAATGTTGTATTATAAAATATTAAACGTTTGGTTCTATTGTTGAAATTTTTTTTGTTTAATTGTATTATTTTATGTCAAGTTAAAAATGTACGAATTAAACATATGTTGTCATATTTAAGCAAATAGAACATTCGAGTAAATTTGTTTGTTGAATTCAAAAACTAATACTAAGTATCCCGTTTGCATATTTTAACAATTCCTTTCTTAAGCTCTACTTTAAGCTCTTAAAAATTCTTAAATAAGAGATATAACGCATTTTTAATGACACAAATATATGTATATGTTTTAAGTATATTTTAAACATTGTCTTTTTTGATAATAATGATTTTTATTTATTAATTCAATGACATGTTGTCGGTATATTTAAAACGTTTTCTACTTTGAGTGTGGAGATGGCCAGATGAACATAAAATGACGTTGTTTAACCCATATTAATGTATTTAATTATCTAAATCTGCAGCAACCGCTCGCCAAAGAGCGAGAAGAAGTCGCGTCTGCGTCGTGGCCAGGTGAACAGTCTGTACCTGGACGAGCAGAAGTACCCGCTCTTCGCGGCGCCCCTAAACGCCCTGGAGCTGAACATGACCGACCATCCGCATGTGCCCCGGTTCGTGGTCGACGTGTGCGCCTACATCGAGCAGCCGGAGTGCATCGAACAGGACGGACTGTACCGGGCCTCCGGCAACAAGGTGCTCGTGGACGAGCTGCGCAAGAAGCTGACCCACCTGTACGATCCCCGCTGGCTGCACACGGACGACATCCACACGCTGACCAGCCTGCACAAGCAGTTCTTCCGCGAGCTGGCCGCCCCGCTCATCACCCAGGAGGCCTACGAGCGCCTCGGGCGCAGCCTGAACGACGAGGCCGCCATCGAGCGGATGAGCCTGGCCTTCGACGACATGCCCGAACCGAACCGCTCCACGCTGCGCTTCCTCATCAGGCACTTGACCAGGTGGGTGGTGGGTGGTGGGTGCCCACAACTCGGGCATAGTCTAAGAACTAGGTCATTTGGGGAAAAGAAAATGTTCATAAGCGAAAGTCGCCATTATACAGGGCTGATTCTAATGGTGAAGGGAAATGTGATCTATATACAATCCAATCCACAATTCCGCCAAAGAAACATTTGACTGAGGTCGATTTGTATGCACCAAAAACAAAAATAATCTTTAGTAATTTCTAAGAAGACTTAACAAGAAAAGAAGACTATTGCTTCCATCATAAAATGTTTGGTTTTTAATTAAAAATGCGTTCTATTATTATAAATTGTGCAACTAATTAACACGACTTTGTTTTGGAAAATTTATTTACATTTTCATAAAAGCATTATTTTTTGTTTTACAAAAGAGATTTTGTCAATATAGGTAAATTAGGAGTATTGGTCTAAATTGGGCATAGATTTACATTGCCCATAATGGTATTTTAATAAACAAAAAAAAAAACAGTATTTTTCTTTTGCAAATGCGGAGATGCAAACATTACTTTAGATTCGCCATAATTGGATATATCAAGATAATGATGTTTCTCCCTAAGATTTGTCATGCTATGGCAAATGAATAATTTGTAGCTTCCTCGCATTAATGTAATATATTTAAAGAGTCATGTTCCACTCTAAGATTTGTCATACAATTAAGCATTAATATTGCGTACCATCTCATGAATCTCATGCAAAATAATGGAATTTTCCCATTCATTTTTTCTGAAAGTACACGCATAATTTATACAAATATAAATATATAATAATGTACATTTTTTAGAGTTGCCGCTGCCAGCGCCTCGAATCGCATGCCCTCCACCAATCTGGCCATCGTTTGGGGTCCCTGTTTGCTCAGCGCCAATCAAATCCAGCTGGACATCGGACGCATGAATATGCTGGCCAAGGTGCTGATCGAGAACTATGACCGCATCTTCCATCCGGACAATGAGCGACTAGTTTGCTAGGCTGCCGTGCCGCCCCATCGCTGCCACGCCCCCTTCTCCACACATCACAAAACATGAAAAAGCAGCATCGATTTAAGTGCCTCAAACATCACCATTTTCTCACTTTATGTTTAACCTAATTTCTCTTTTTTTTGTGTTTTTTGTCAGCTTTAATTCTATGTTTTTACTTCGCTAATTTTAATATTTTTATTACTTTATTTATTCATTGGAAATGGCCAATTGCTGAGTCAAGCCCATCAAGAAAATACTTACCAAAAAGACAGTAGACTAAGTTATTACTAAAAAAAGGGGAAAAACCAAACCGCAAGGAAACCCCTAAAATAAAACGACGAACTTTGTGGCAGCACAGTGAGCACTGCCTGCGGCAAATCCCATAACATGGTGGAATATTATTTTTTTTTTTGACCTGACATCATATATGAGATGTGATATTCGCTGCAAACTGCAAAGCGTGAATATAATGTGTATTTATATCTTTATATTATATATATTAATAAACCATATGAAATATTGAAATATATGAATAAAGTCCAGTACAGTAGATAGGCTACTCATATGTTTTTTTTTTTTTATTGGTTAAAGATGCTTGATGAAAGCCAAAAAATTGTATATTTTCTATCTCAATAAATATGAAGAAAATTAATAAACCAGTTATTTACTATTCAGATTGCGTATACGACATGTGTGTTCCCACAAAATTAATTGATTTTTAATTAGTACAAATGTTTTGAACACAGAGGCATGTAAATTTGTGTATTTAAATCTATTTTTGGTTCAAGGTGGACAACAAAAATGCCTGTCTACTTTTTGGCTGAATTTAAATTCGGATAATTGAAGCATATATAAGGCGGATGATCAAATGGTCAGTGCTAGTTGGCTTATAGTTTTTGGCCATGAAGGTCGACAAACGAATGGTTTTGTTATGCATGTGCTTCATAGCAATGGTGAGTTTTGAGTTGCTGAAAATTCCCTGGATCGATCTAATGTAATTCTCTACTTTAAGTGGCAGTTTTCCAGTTGCCTTGGTGCAAAGGATTGCCTGAAGCTTCACAACTTGACCAGTTCCAAAGTGGAGGCAGTGGCTCTGACCACTCATTTTGCCGCAGTTCCCCTGGATGTCAAGTGCTACAGCGGATGTGTGATCGAGGAGTACTTCGGCGATGATGGGAAAATCGATCTGCAGAGAGTGGGAGACCGTGGCACCGAGCAAGAGCAGATTATTCTGGCCCAATGTAAACAGCAGTTCGATGGCGTCAACAATTTGGGCAGATGCGACTATCCGTATCTGATGCTTCAGTGTTTGTTCATGGGCAAAGCGAGCGGAACGATCGCTCCGTAATTCCAGCAATATAAAGCAAACCATACAAAATAACCAACACTAGCTTACAAAATAAAATTGATCATTTGCTTCAGGCACGAAAGCTTTATTTTCTTTTGCCTTTGAATCAGACAGTATACAAGATAAAAGAGTTTTTAAAGCAGTTTGAAAACGTAAATTACACTTTGATCCCATTAATAAAAGACTAAAAACTAAATGAAACTTTTGTTTCTGAAGTAAGCTGTTGACTTAATTTTGTTAGCTAGTTTAATTATGTAAAAGCCAAAAACAATGGTTGAAATTATAAATACGTCCGTTGGTTTGATATCTTATTATTTAAATTACAAATCAGTTAAAGCGCTCTTGATGTTTTATAAATTATATTTAATTATATTTAAATGGGTTTAAGCATGGGCTTAAAATGGGACTTAAGGGCAAACACAAAAGTTAGAAAAATGAACAAGTTTTATTGATTAATTTGAACATCAGATCAAGCGCCCTTGCTAAATTATAAGTAAAATTATATGTTATTCGATTGCGTGTTGTATAAATAAACAATTGCAATCGCAATTTGCAATTATTTTCTTAATTGTCTAGGGTTACACACTTATATTCGAATGCTTTATAATCACGTTGGTATGTTGAAACTGAAAGAAAATGAGTGCACTGCAATATTGATTGCACATACTTGTAAAGCAACAAAGATCGATTCGTTTTGAATATCATTTGTTTGCAGGGTATTCTTTTTAATAAAAATATAACCAAGTCAATCAAAGCCCGTACAGCCGCAATACTCATTCCCAAGAAATTACAGAAAACTCAACTTGGCATGCCAAGCAAATATGAAATCTATAAGTGCTGGTTAGCCAAATATAAAATGTTCCCCACACCACTCCTTGAATAATATTCGCAATGGCAGATATAGAAGATGCAATTTGAACATAATTGAAATGCAAATGGCAGACTGTGGACTGTGGACTGTGGACTGCGGACTGCAGACTGCAGAGCCAACTTGATGGGTCGGATGTGTGGAAGTAATAATGAATCCCAGTCGAGCCAACAGGATGCAGGGCAAATTTCAATTTTCCCAGCAAATCATACGTAAAGTTTGGCCAAATACATTTGGGCCGGGCCAAAGAGGGCCAGAGGGTCAGAGGGCCAGAGGGCTGTGTGATGTCAATGCAATCAGTGAGGCATTTGACTTGGCCTTTCATCATCTCAACTTAACGCAGTCGAGTGCAAAGGACACATAGGGCTCAGGACTCATGACTCAGAACACAGGACATAGGACACAGGACACACGAACTCCTTGGGCGACACTGCGGCTGGCCCACGGCTGGCCCACAATCACCAAGAAAGCCGCCAACTTACTGGTTACTGGTTACGGGCTACGAACTACAGGCAATAAGCAAAACGGGGCCCAAATTAGGAATTATTTTGACCAGCCGGAAAAGGGGGCGTTGCGCAAAGTGCTGAAGTCAGTGGAAAATTTGTGGGCAAAACATGTTGATGACAGGCAAATATGCTGTAATGCAATTATGGGTGCTACCAGGATAGCGATTTAATTGACAATGCAAATTGAATCAGCATTTGTAACTGTCTAATCGAATTAGCTCGAGAAACCGCTTTCTCCTCTTCTGCCCTCTCGTCCATAATTCAATTTCTGACTTACCAAAAGGGTTTTCGATTTTCGGCTTTCGGCTTTCGGGTTTCGGCTTTCTGGTTTCGGCTTTCTGATTTCGGGCTTATGGTTATCCAGTGGACTCGGCTTTTTTGGCCCGGCTCAGCAAATAAACTTTGCGTCCTGATTGCGGCAGTCGACTGCAGTTTTCTCCTGACCACACGGCCGTTCCAAGGCATGGAGGATCGGAGGAGGGTCCTTCGGTGTCCTTCGGTGTCCTGGCCAGACCGTTGAGTGGACCTAACCACTGGAACGTGCCTTAACTTATAAAATGTTGCCTGGCCGCTGCCAACTGCTGCCAACTGCAGCCAGTCTAAATGACTCACATCTCTTGGCCTGGTCAAAAACGAAGCTGCAATGCTCTCGAGAAATCCACAAGGAGTCTGCAATCTTATAGCTGAATCAAATACCTTTTTGGAAAGTGGGGAGTACTCAATGAATTCAGGTCACACTTCGGAATAATACAATTTAATATCCCCAAAAAGATCTCATCGGAATTTATCTCTCTTGATACGCTTGTCTTTGCGAAAATCGTTTTGAATAATCCAATAAATGACTGCAAAATGAATTAAAATTAAAGATATTTACAAATTTATTTAAATTGTTTTAGGGGCGACCTGGGTAATATATAGTATTCTCTATAATATTTATTAAATGTACGTTTGCTAAATTAAAAAAAAATGTTTTTGGCCACAATTCCAATAAAAGACAATCACACGTTGAATATTATAACTGGTTTTCGATATATATTTTTAAATAAAAATGTAAATTATTCTGTCAGTTAAGCTTAAATTTATTAAGGTAACGAAGAAAAAGAACAAAATATATTAATTCTTGATCTTAAAGTCTTGTCTACAATTGTGTTGTTTTTGATTTTCATATTGTCATCTTGAAAAGTCGAAAATTGTTTCTAGAAAAACTCTATTGAAGCCGATGCTGTATAAAAGTATGCTTAATTTATATAACAAAATATATAAAATAATCACTAAATGGAACATTTAAGATTGACTTACTATAACTATAACCAATGCAGAAAACAGGCTTAAAGGGTTACAAGTTTTGGCCACTTTCAGGGTATTCATTTTCGGTGCCAGTCCCGAAATGACATCGCATCTGGTTGAGACCAAAGTGGTTGGCCTTTTCGGCACCGGCTCAGCAACCACCAACCTACCGAATGGCTCCCATAGAGCCACTTGAATGCGGCCCGCCACCTGTTGGCGAATTAGGGCATCACACCCGCGGAGGGGGAGAGGGGAGGAGGAAGGTCCTTCAGCCCAGAAACCCTCTTACCAGTATCCCGACATTAAGACGCTGGCTATGTGTACTAACTGGCATCTCGAGATGAAGGACAAGACTTAGATGCGGATTGAGGAGCAGTCAGAGCAGGCAGATGGTGGCTAAGAGCTGGAATGACAGGATGCTGAGCTGGCAGAGCATCATCATCAGCATCATCATCATCATCGCCATCACCAGCAGCGGCTAAGGATGTGACAATGCTGAGCCCGTTTGACATGAGCATGATATAATAAAAACCGCAAACAAGTAATGCCTATGAACCGCAGTCCTCAAGCCGACGACTTCATCCCGGAGTCCTTGGTCCAACTCGCTGAGATAACAACATCAGGCCAAAGGACCAAGAGGTTGGCAAGGGGATGACCATTCAAGTGGCGATGTCAGAGTGTCCCTGTCCTGCGTGTCCTCCATGTCCTGCATGTCCAGCATGGCCCTCATGCCAAGTTCTACACCTCGAAAAATACAAGTATATAGAAAGAGGCCAAATATTAGATCTCATTAGAAAACCTACATGTTAAACATAATCAGATTTGTAATTAAATAAAATTTTTACAAATATTTATTATCTTTGTCTTCGTATATTCTTAAGAGTAAAATACTCTTATAATTTTTTAAGAAATATAACTTATCACACGGCTTTAAGACAAGCATACAAAATTAATTAGACATAATGTTTCAATGGAGATTGATTTTTATGCAGTTAAACTTTGAATTAAAAAAATTACAACTTATTATTTTATAACTTGTTAACTGTTTCCCTACCTATTTAACTGCTTATTCCGAAATCTGCACTATTAACATAGATATCAGAGGTTGACAAAATTAAAAAAAAAATTGTTAAGTTCAAAAGAACACCTTCATAAATTACACTTAAAAAAAACACATAAACTTCTAGTTAAATAAAAATTAAACATTTCAAAAGTTATATAACGCCTTACAAATGTACCTGAAGTCAACATGTACTTTTAGCGTTAGAAGGAATAGAAATATAAATAAATATTAAATTTGAGAGGAAAAGGGAACAAATAAACGCGACCAAAATGTTGTTTAATTTTTTCTAACCCACTAAATTATTCTTTTGCTATTTTTTTCCCCCAGTGTGATCATCCGGGACCAGTGGGCACGGCGTTATCCTTTGGCGTGATTAAGCCACAAGTGCGTGACATTTTAATGCGACATTTATGCCGAGGACAAGAGATTATTATTGGGAATGCGCGCCCGGTTCGCGTGACAACAACAGGACAATGGCAATGGCAAAGGCAAAGGCAAAGGCAATAGCAGCGGCATAAATATGAGTCGCAGGAGCTGGATGAGCAGGAGCCGCAAGGATAACAGCACCACTTGCTTAACGCCCCGGCCCACAGCTTATTTATTTATCTTGCCCGGCTGACACCCGAGTGACAACTTTTGTTCCTCCCGTTTCTGGGGCAGAACCGAACTGGAGGGGGGCAACTATGTGCGTCTATGTCCTGTCACAGTCTTCAGACATCTCTGAGCCACCTCCCGAGGATGTGGCTGAAGTCCTGGCAACATATTTAATTAAAAGCCAAGGCGACCAACTGACAAATGACAGAGGGATCAGCTGGAAGATGACTCACTGAGCAGGATCTGCAAAACACACATAAAAATATGCTTCAATAAAAGGATTTGGCATTATTTGTGGAATACTTTATATTAAATAAAAAAAAGTATAACATTATTTTCCAGTATTTATGACAAATGTGGATTTTTATGTGTGTTTCATTTAGTAGGTAAGAATTAGCTTAATGAAAATGCAAAAAAAAGGAAACAAGATAAGAAACAAACTTCGGCAAGTCGAAGTTTATATGCCCAAAATTAAATATTCCTTAAAATATGTAAATTTCGATTTACATGCGTGTATTTTTAAAAGCAATGCCGATTTTTAGCTCAACTATTTGATTGTTCCAATGGTAGCTATACGAAATCTTTTTCCAATTTTAATAAAACTAAAACAGTAATTCTTAAATTTTTAATATAATAATTACTATGTTTAAAAAAGTAAAAAAAATTAGAAAAAAACAGAGAAGTTACATTTTTCTTTTCATTTTTTTTGGACAGACGGATTTGGCTGATCAAGAGTATATATACTTTTAATGGTCGGAAATGTCTGCTTCATCTATGCAAAGGTATCAAAACTTCAAAACTAGTTTTGATTGCTATTCCATAAGCTTAAAAACTTATATTTGCATGACCGCTGCTGTAACTACATAATAAGTAAATGCATTATCTAGATGTAGTAATTTCCACAAGTTTTTCCCTATGTGCTAAAAATTTAATGAAAAAAAGTAATGGAAAACTGACAAAAGGATAATGCACACGATAAGCACTCGCAGCTGTAATCTCACCTCCAATTAATGTTCAACGT